TGAATGATCAATGCTTTTTGCTTTCAGAAGCATAGGCTGAATTTGGGAAGGGGCGAGCTTCCTTTGCCATAGGGTGTTGACCTGGCCAATGTCATTTCTGTCACTGCCTCCACTTGGTTTTTCATTGCTCTTCCCCTAAAACAAGGAACAGAAATGAGTGATGCTTCCAACATCAGTGTGGACCTACTGACAGAGCAATTGCAACAGAAGCTACAACAAGATCTGGGCCAATGTCTGTGCTTCTAAAAGGACCCTCAGGCTACAATGGGCCAGATACTGCCATGTCTTCGTATGGCAGTATCTGCCATACCAATGCTTGTACCAGTATCTTTTTCCTCTCAGTAGACAATATGCTCAATTTTCCTCTGCTTCTCCCAGCCTTTAGAAGGAAAATAAATCACTGTAATCCAGATCACAAGTTCCCATAAAAACCTGCTTGTGCCCAGAAAGCTAAGTATCAGAGCTTGCCTGAAGCTGAGGAAGAAGTGGCATCAATAAATTTACATCTCTAAATAGATGATAAGTGTTGAATCAATTTCCATATGTTTAAAATAGCAGAGCATTAAGGATTCTGGCACTTCAAGCAATCAACTAATTTGGGGCTATTACGGGAATATCTTTTATACTAGTGGAGTGATTCATCTGAAAATCAAGGCCAGTCTGCAGGCCTGTGCCCTTTCAATATCATAAAGGACAGCAAATTGACAACAAAATCCTGCTTGCCTGGAGAGGTTATGGTGCCTTTTGACATTCAGGTCTTTGCAAAATCCCCTTTCAGCTCTTAATAAACCAGTTCATAATATACCTTCCACTTGGCTTGCCTGGCACGGTCTGCTCATGGCTACACAGATCCAACAGGAACCAAGTGTTGGCACATACTTCCTGGTGATAAAGGCAGGAACTCTGATGTATCAGGAGCTCTGTGTCAAAAAAGATGCCAGGGCAGAAGCTGTCCTGTGCTCTCCTCCCGTTTTCTCCCATCCTTTCATTCAGCCTGGGCTCATCAAGCCTCATCTCGCACCACATCTGGCTGGCTACTTGCTGACCCTCAGCTGGCTGGCTCTGAACAAAGCTCACAGCTCTTCCCTCCTACTGTGGTGTCTGTATTTGAGATGAGTCACACCATTTCCAGATGGGCACTGGATATTACATGTATACACAACCTGTGCTTCAGGGAGTTTCAAGGAAAATCAGCTTCTTTCAAAAGCAGCTGGTGTTGTTTTTACCTACATGAAGGCTTTGAGGGTGGGAATAAAGAGAGGATGGATGAAAACACCAGTGGGGCTTCAGGTGCAGTGATCTGGCCTCATGTATTACGTTTGCTGAGCCATCAAATATCTCCGTGCTAGTTTGGTACACTGCTCACAAATGTAATGAGCCGTTGCTGTAGTGAATGCACACCACTACTGAGCCTGGAGACACCCTGCTATTAGTGCACAGCACCCAGCAATGTGCTGCAGTACTGCTGGTCTGGGTCTACAAGAGCAATAGGGACTTCAGAACTATCCACCTGCAGGACCAGGAAGATGGCAGAGCATCAGTATATTCTCCCTCACATTTAGCACATGATCTTCCTATTCCTAAAAAGCAGGGACTTGGAGGAGGACAGATTTGGGGGTTGTTTGATATTTTGGAGCACCACCAGGGAAAGCTCCTAATTAGCACATGGATTTTGCATAGCCCAGATTTTCATCACTTGCTTGGTTTCTTACTGCCACAGCAATAGGATGCTCAACCGCTGACTTCAAAAGGAGGATGTCAGGATTTGCGGGAGCAGCGGGATCTTCATTCGGTACAGAGCTTTAACTAGCATTTGTTGGTAGTTTAACACCTAACTGAGAAGCATTTCTAACCCACCTCTACAGCATCTTCTTGGCTTGGATCTTTCTTCATGGTTTTCTGTCTCTTTTCTCAACTCCGTTTACCATGGCGATGGGTTTAAAACAGAAGAGCAGCGCAAAGCAAAGATGACAGCCAGAGCGATGTTCCTCATTAAAGATAAGCCAGACCCAAATTCTTGTCTAGATGCTCTGGAAAGCTGAGCATCCTCCAGAGCATAGGTGGGGAACCAAGATACCAGTGTGCTGGCTCCTGGACTCCAGCCTCAGAGGAAGGGGTTGTACACTCAGGGAGGATGCAGCACCTGATGGGTAGGTTGGAATTATTGCAGCATCCAGGGATTTTTCACTTTATTAACCTTAATGAAGATGCTCAGCAGTTAAAAACTGGTTTGCTGGGCAAGAGTCGCTCATCTTGAGTCCCTGGAAGAACCTACTACTGCAGCAGGGTGTTTAATGCTGTGAAAACACGTGTGGAGCTGTGATGGTGCAAGCACCACTGAAAGCTCTGCGTTGACTAGGTGATAGTTACTGGGTAGTGGTATCCCTGTGAAATGAGGTAGCAACGCTTTCCTGACCTCGTGATGGCCTGGATTTGGGTGATGGAAAACACCAGAACCGCTGTGTCGTGGAGGGAGATGGAAATGTGAGTGCCTCCCCACAGGGTAGAGGGAAATACCTTCCCTCCGGTGCAGTTTCCCTTCTGCAAGCCATCCTTGACACAACAGACAGCTTCTCGAGCTCCCCTCTTCTCCTCTCCCAGGAAGACAGCTTCTCCTCTTATGTGGCCATCCTTTGGGGCATGGATGCTCATGGGTATTTGGAGCAAGTCGTAAGCAAAACCACACATGTGATTTATGCAGTATTTTGGGAAAGCTAAGGCATAGTTCAGCACTGCTGTACTTAAACAAGCAGTGAGTGCTTCTGCTTTCAACTGGCTGAAGGGTGTCACAGGCAGGGCATCCACCTGGGGTCCACACTGCCATCCCTCAGCCCCTGGCTTTGCCATGATGGCCAGGGCTGCCAAGCACGGCTTGCTCTGGAAGCATCACTTCCTCAGGTTGCTTTCTAGCATTGCCAAAATCACTGTCCTTTACTGGGTTGTTTCCATAATCTGCTTTTCAGGTACAGGTGGAAGGCAAAGAGACCCATCACATGTAAATAAATAAGCACGGCTGTCTGGTTTGAATGGCTACACTGTCAGACATGACAAAGGAGTGTGCAGCACATGCTGCAAATAGGTATTTAAAATCTCATTCAAAACCTGTCACCTTCCCTGCTCCACAGAAGGGAGGTAATGAACAGCACATACTTCAAAGTGACGTTTTAAGGACTAAAAAGACGCTCATGTAGGGCTTTGAAAATGCACATAAATTGCAAGTGTCAACACTCACACCTCGCTGATGTGAAACTGTGTCTGCTTGCAGCGCTGCCTTGACCTCCCCCTGCTGCTACGGGCCAGGGTGCTGCAGCCAGGACATGGGGAGGATGGAAAAGGCCAAGCCTTGGGGAAGCACAGTTGATGGGGTTGGGGTTGACCTTGCAGCAGAGCGCTGTGACAGGGGAGGTACCTGCCCAGGCAGTGGCTCCCTGCCCACTGGTTACAGGCAAGGTGGTGATGTCACATTTTAGGAGACAGGGCTGGATCCCCCCATATCCTATTTTCAAGCTAATCATGTAAATACCTTTGGGACAAAACCCCACCACCAAGCACCCAACACTGAGTGATGAAGCTGCTGGGAGTCCCTGCACAGGACTCACAGCCTCACCAGCTCCTAGGGCCCCAACAGCCTGTGGTCACATCTGGGTTTCTGCAGGACCCCTGCCTCCTTTGGGAAATGGCAAGTGGTTCAGGATTTCCTTCCTAGCTGTTCAGTGTTGCCTCATTTTCCCCTGGCAAAAGGTGGTGCGAGGGGACCAGGGTAAGTACCTGCAAGAGCACCCCCAGATTCTGGGATGTGAGACATCTGGACCAGGAGGTTTGCTGTTCTTGCCACGCTTTGCGCAGTCAGAGCACATCTCCAAGTGCAGCAAGGGGTGCGCAGCACTGCTGCTCAAATAGCACCCCAAAAATGAGGGCAATATCCAGAATATCTATATGGAATAAATGAAACACCCTTTGGTGACAAAACCAGCAGGCAATCACAACCCACTTGCACAAAGGGGCTGAGTTATGCTTGCACAAGTACTCACATCACTGGTATTCTCTGGTATTTCAGTGATCTGCTCCAGTGCCAGCCGAGGGTTTTCTCTGTGGTGTCATTAGCACTGAGCTGACGATTATGGTGAGGTTGGAAGGGACCTTAAAGCTCATCAGTTCCAGCCCCTGCCACAGGCAGGGACACTGGAGCAGCTTGCTCCAAGCCCCTGTGTCCAACCTGGCCTTGAGCACTGCCAGGGATGGGGCAGCCACAGCTTCTCTGGGCACCCTGTGCCAGCGCCTCAGCACCCTCACAGGGAAGAGCTTCTGCCTAAGAGCTCAGCTCAGTCTCCCCTCGGGCAGGTTCAAGCCATTCCCCTTGTCCCGTCCCTACAGGCCCTTGTCCCAAGCCCCTCTCCAGGTTTCTTGCAGGCTCCCTTTAGGTACTGGAAGCTGCTCGAAGGTCTCCACTCTGGAGACAAGCAACAGCATCTGGGCATTATTTAAAGACCAGTGGTGCCTTTGTCCATGTAAAGTCTTCTACCCACTGCCATGTACGTGCTCTGTGCTACCTGCCCATCTCTATGAGATCCTGGGCTTCCAGGCTCCACAGACCCACCCAGGTCCGTGGGGGTTTGTTTTCCTTTGCGGCACAATAGACACCGATGCAAATCTAAGGCCGGTTCTAAACGCTGGTCAGCTCTTGTACCCCATGTGCCTACATAGAGAATCACTTGTATATGCCGGGAGGAGTAATGCGAACCGAACCACAGCCCCCTTGGTCCCCAGTGTCACCGGCACGAACCCTACGGCTTCCCAACGGGGCGAGTCCCCCCGCGCTGGGGCAGCGCCTCGCCTTTGGGTCGCTCCCGGGGGCACGGGCTCTGCAGAGCAGCCGGGATGCAGCGGGGCCGGGACCGGGGCGGGCCCTGCCGGCAGCGCGCTCCCGGTGTGCCCGTCCCCCCCCCCGCCTCCCAAGTTGCCAAAAGGCGTCGATCCCATCGCCTGCAGCAAATCCCGCCCCCTGCTCCGCCTCTCCGGTTGCACGGGCGGCTGGGCGCGAAGGAGCGCGGCGGCGGGGCCGGGGCCGGGGCCGGGGATGGCTTTCGAGGCGCTGGCGGAGGCGGCGGAGCGCTGGTGCGCCCGCACGCCCTTCCAGCTCATCGCCGCCGAGGAGACCGAGCGCCGCATGGACTTCTACGCCGAGCCCGGCGTCTCCTTCTACGTGCTGTGCCCGGAGGCCGCCTGCAGCGACAATTTCGTGAGTGCCCCATAAAGGGGACCGAAGGGGCGGTGGGGGGGGGAGCCGGTCACGCGTGTGTGCGGGTATCCGTGCGTGTGCGCGGCCACGGCACCGCTTTGGGACGCGCCCCCCTCCCCTCGGTCCATGCGTGTTCCCGGGGGGCGGAGGGATGCGGGGTTAGAGGGCGGGGGGTGCCGCGGCTGCGGGGGGGGCTCCCGTCGTGTGTGCAGGGGGGATCTTCCCTAGCGCGCACCAGCGGCTGTAAAATGGAGTCCGCTGCAGGTGGGGGGCGGCCCCGCGGGCAGGGCTGCGGGCAGGGCCCCCCCTCGCCATCCCCATCACCCGGCCCGAGGACGCTGCGGGCTCCGGGTGAGGGGAGTGGGTGCGAACACCCCCCCCGCTTCCCCTGCTCCCTGCGGGGGCTGCAGCTGATGCTCCCCCGCATCCCCATCCATCCATCCATCCATCCATCCATCCATCCATCCATCCATCCATCCATCCTCCCGGGGCCAGGGGCGGGCGGACTGGCAGGGCTGTCATGGCAAATGGAGAATGGGCAGGAATAAAATGGAGTCAGGATGACAGGAGGGCCGCGCCCCCTCCCTCCTCATTCCCGTCTCTCCCCCCCCAACCCGGGTCCTCCGCAGTTTGGGGACCCGGGCAGGTGCCGGCCCAGCGCCTCCGTGCCCCTTTCCCTGCCCGTCGCCGAGTTCAGCGTCAAGTTCGTGCTGAAAAGGCACCGGTAAAAGAAACCCGTGGCTTTGGGATGGGGTTTGGGATGTGTTCCCCTCCCCCAGAGCCTCCCGGTGGTGAGCACAAGTGCAGCACCACGCCGCGGGGTCTGTAACCTGCGATGCTCCGGTTAACTGCGACCGAAGGAGTTCGTTTCATTGTTTAAAGAGCAAATAGCTCCTAGCACAGAGCGTTATGGTAGGGATGCTGTAGCTTCTTCCCTTCCCAACTTTCATCCCTCCATCTGCTTGGCAAATGTTCATTAATTCGCTTTCCAATAGGTAAGTGCTGTATGGACCCATTCGACAGATGGGGTCATGGAAACAAAGAGCAGTGAAGTGACTTTCCAGGACCACAAATCCCAGCAAGCAGGACAGTTATTTGTCGCGTCGGGCAGACTGATGTGCTGAATTATGGAAGAAGTTGTCTGGAGTTTAGTTATGCATCTGTCCAGGGGTACATGGGACCTTCAGGTGCAGTCCCAGCCATGGCAATGGAGCATCTCTGAGTGTGGATTATCCTGGTCCATGGTGGGACTAGCACAGCACACTCCTCTTCCCAGCACCCATGAGCCTATCAAACCCTGGCACTCGTGTCCTCTTAATGATGCCTGTGCCCAGGAAAGGCCATGGACTCTTAAGCAGGGATACACATGAATCCAATGCAGGAGTAGGCTAAATCTGCTTGGGTGCTAATAATATCAGAAGATGCAATGTGTCTTTATATGCTGCTCAGTAATTGAGCAAACTCTTTCAAAACAAAATCTAGCCAACTTAAATCTGAAGCAGTTTCAGATCCTATTCCCGTGCTTCCAACACTTGGCAATTTCTATGGGTTTGCAACCACATTTCCCCTTCTTTTCTTTTTCTGGCAAATCTTTTCATTCCAGGGTTGCTGTGGGTAGGACTCAGAGTCACCAGGCATAGAACTGACCTTGGGGAGGACCCCTCACCCGGAGTCACCAAGAGTAAAACTGAGCAGAAGGACCAGCTCCTGTCAAGTGTGAAACAGACACTGTGGAAAACCAGAAGCAGGGTTTTCTTCTGTATTTTTTGTTTCCCAATATTACTTTAATCACCTTTTGTGATAACAATACTTTAAAGACAGGCAGATAGATGTAATCCTCAATCCTTTTCCCATTGATGGTATCTCTTCAGTGCGATTAAGGACCGCCAATGAGATGATTCACCAGCATCCTGTTTGCTGCTCCTAGTGCACTGTGGTAATTAATTTCTGCTCCCAACTTGGCTATCTTGGAGGTTTTTTTGCAGCCATTTATTGTTTTGCTTGGGTTTTTTTAATGTTCCAGAAGGTAAGATGCCTTTCTATGAGCTATTATAGGCCAATGTTCGTTTTAAGAAGACTTAATACAAGCCAGGGGACTGATTCCTGTTTGCACTTGGGCCTTGTTGCATGGCTCCAGTAACATAGTTGAATGGGAAAGTGATTAACTGTAAACTGAATTCACAGTGACACACTTCAGAGCCTTTTTGCACCCTGTGACTCTCATAAAGGAGCCTCACATTGAATAAGCATCTAGTGCCCAATATTCTTCTTCTCTTTCTTTATGTCTTCATTTCATAACAATGCGACTTCAAAAGCTACGTAGGAGGTGCCTGAGGAGTCTATGATAACCCAGTTGTAAGTAGGAAATGATAAGCACGATGAACTGAAAAGGGAGAAGGAGAAACACATGGGAAAGTTGCCATGGAGAATAACTCTGAATTTTGTATAAAAACAGAGATTCCAGATCACAGCAATCCTAGAATTTTAATTTCCTGAATTAAACGGGCTAGGTTTTTAACATGCCAAGGATGCTGAAGACCCTTCTAGATGCCTGCTGGCATTTTCAGTACCACCTGGACTCTAAAATGCCCTGAATCAGCGTTTTAGATAGCTGAACTATGTATAATTTAGCTGCTGAAGCTCATGGTGGTGTTAAGCAATTAATTGGACTTGTATAGCTGTAATCAATAGGGGTGAGGGCTTCAGTGATGTAGGCTGCAATTTGTTTTGCCACCGTGTTATTGCTGGTGTTCCAAGTAACCGATAAAGCAAATAAATATATGGTGCCACCTCAATGCAAGATTTCCTTGCTTTTTAGAACAGAGTCAGCAAGTCTGACTATTTCTGGCAAGTCAAATTATCCCCACAAAGAAATCCTGCTATGCTCTATAGGTGGGCTGGTTAGAAAGAGGTGGTCTAGCAAGCAACTTTGTCATTCAGCAGCACTGAATCATCTAAAGGCGTGAGGGAAAGCAAACCCCTCCAGATGTAACCCCATGAGTTGCCTCAGCTATGTGCTGTGTGTAGGTGCTGATCAACCATGATAGGACAAGGGATGACGGGATAAAACTGAAACGGGAAGTTCAGGTTAGATATAAAGGAAGAGTCTTTTATGTGAGGGTGGTGAGGCACTGGAATGGGTTGCCCAGAGGAGTGGTGAACGCTGCTTCCCTGGCAGTGTTCAAGGCCAGGTTGGACAGAGCCTTGGGTGCCATGGTTTAGTGTGAGGTGTCCCTGCCCATGGCAAGGGGTTCGAACTGGATGATCATAAGGTCCTTTCCAACCCAAACCATTCTGTGATTCTATGATTGATTCTATGATTCATGATATTAACAGGTTTTCTTGGGAAGAAGATGGAATTCCAGATTTCAGAATGAGGTGCATGCACTTACGGCATGAGAGACCCTTCATAGTGCATTCATTGCTACAGACGAAGTCCTAAACCTTCTGCAGATGTGGAAGTTGTTGGAAGCCTTACTTGCTGCTGACTTGCTATGCAAAACCAAACTCTCTTCAGAGGCTCAATGATCAAGTTACTCCCTTAGGTTTTCCACTTGTGCTAGATCACATTGTTCTGCACTACTGCTGAGAAATTCACACCGGAGTCTAAATCATGGTGCAGCTTGAGAGACTAAAAACATGAGTAGGACAACATGGAGTTAACTTTCCTTGGGGAAGGAATTAGCTGTTATTTATAAAAGGGCATGGCTTGATTTTCATTTGTGTGGAAGATGCTGTGTATGGCTCCGGTAGTCAAAAGAAGCCCTAATTTAAAGAAGAATCAGGATCTTAGCAGTCATAATCATTTTACACATACAAACAATTGCAACAGGTATAGCGGAGCTGCAGCATCCAGCTCTTGTTGGACTCAAAGATCAGAAGTAGCTAAATGGTTATTGCTGACACAAGCATTAAGGAATCATGGGTCAGACCGCCAGAATCTTCAGGCTGCTCTTAAAATGTTGTTGTTTGAAAGAGTTCATTTGATGTTTTAAAGAGGGTTCGTTTGAGTTCACGTCGTGGACTGCCTGCCTTTTTAGGCCATAGACGTCTCAAAGTGCAGACTTTGTTTGTTTGTTTGTTTGAACAGAAGCTGAGATTTGGTTGTGTATTTATAGGAGTCCAAGGCCCATGACTCTAAGATGGCATGAAGTATCATGAGACTTGTGGTATGTGCCTTTGAGAGTTGGCAAGACTGTAAAGAACTTCTTTTTATTTCCAGACGGGTTAAGAGATGACTCTGCTTGTATGGAAAGAGCAGAACCTACTCAGTAAGGCAGAGGGCTCTATTCATAACCAAACATTTCACTATGTTTATGCTTGTAAAATGCAACAAACAGCACAGAAAATGTAGGTCAGGTGAGGCTCATAGCAGAGCAGTTGCAGTTTTCGGCTTAAAGATGGAGCTTAGGTGATGTTAAGTAGTGTTTCCCTTCGAGAAGTGTAAAGCTGCATCCCAGGCAGGTATTCACTGCTGAACAGGAAGGTGACACGTAAGCCTTGTGTTAGGGGTTGAAACATCTGTCATTCTGTCTCTTCCCCTGAATGTTAGTTAAGCTTCAGAGAGACCCTGCTCATTCCTTGTTTAAGCGTAATCTACTGTTTATAGGACCCTAAAAAGCAGCACATCACTTTTGGGAAAAGAGGTGCTGTGCAGAAACAGAGGTATGAGTCTCAAATGGAATTTGCAGTATTATGCTTTCTCTGTGTAGCAGGCTAAGACAGTCCTGTGCATGAAGCCTTCAAAAGGAAGGTCTTTAAAAGTATGCATTAGCCTGAGCTGTGTGCTGCCCTTCTGTGCAAGAAGCATTGTTGCCTGTGGCTCCCACCATGGCTCACCAGCTGTGTTTCAAACAACCTCATAGCAGGAGAATAAGCATCAATTTTGGTAGAGGCTCTGCAGAGCCGCACTGGGGAACCAGCATCTCCAAAGCAAGAGCAAGATGAGAGGAATATCCTAAGTGAGTTTAAATGTGCTTGCCCAGGAACAGAAGATTCAAGCCTAGGAGAAGTAAACTTCAAAACAGGGAGGAAGGCATGAGGTGTTGGATGTTGTGCGTGCCCGAACATCTCTTCCTCAGCTCTGTGTGTAACCTGTGGGTATATTTTGCATGTTTTCTCCTGCATCATCGAGAGAGTTACACATTGAGCTGCACCTCCAGGGTCACATCACAGTTCCACTAATTCCATGAAGACAAAGAGATGCTTTAGCTCTTCCAGAGGGCTTTATTGTAGATGATGATGCAGAAGAAGAGAAAACCCAAAGTGACTTCCACGTCTGAGTAGGGCTGATGTGAAACAAGAACACCTTTACTAATAAAATGCATGTGCACAAGGTGTCTGTACCCTCCATTACTGGTGCAGTCATAAGACCTTTTTCTCTTCTGGATCAATTTCCCTGCTTTCTGATGTTTCCATGTTAATAAAATCAAGGTTCCTTTTTAGAAGCACAGCTTCTGAAGCAGCCTGCAGGTCCGGTCCCCAGCACAGGTCTGAACTGCGGGGAGGCCCAGTGTGCTGTGGCAGATGTTCACAACATATCACCTTATAAAATCATGTGGGATTCCTGTTAATGCCTTTTCTTTCTTGTGTTGCTGTTGGCTTTCAGCACGTGTGGAGCGAAAGTGAGGACTGCTTACCTTTCCTGCAGCTCGCCCAGGATTACATCTCTTCCTGTGGGAAGAAGACGCTCCATGAAATACTGGAAAAGGTCTTCAAATCCTTCAGGCCTGTAAGTGCTTCTTTTTTACTTCTAAACACTGACATGTACCTGTGATGTTTAATAGGGTAGCACTAGTTGGAGCAAGGTGGTTTTATTCTGCAGGGCTTACATCACAGTATCACAGTATCACACAGTATGTTAGAGATTGGAAGGGACCTCAAAAGATCATCTAGTCCAATCCCCCTGCCGGAGCAGGAACACCTAGATAAGGTTACACAGGAACGTGTCCAGGCGGGTTTTGAATGTCTCCAAAGAAGGAGATCCACAACCTCCCTGGGCAGCCTGTTCCAGTGTTCCGTCACCCTCACTGAGAAGAAGTTTCTTCTCAGGTTTAAGTGGAACCTCTTGTGTTCCAGTTTATACCCATTACCCCTTGTCCTTTCATTGTTTGCCACTGAGAAGAGCCTGGCTCCATCCTCGTGACGCTCCCCTTTTATATATTTATATACACTAATAAGGTCACCCCTCAATCTCCTCTTCTCCAAGCTATAGAGACCCAGCTCCCTCAGTCTTTCCTCATAAGGGAGATGCTCCACTCCCTTAATCATCTTAGTTGCCCTGCGCTGGGCTCTCTCCAGCAGGTCCCTGTCCTTCTTAAACTGAGGGGCCCAGAACTGGACACAATATTCCAGATGAGGTCTCACCAGGGCAGAGTAGAGGGGAAGGAAGCCCTCTCTCGACCTACTAACCACCCCCCTTCTAATACACCCCAGGATGCCATTGGCCTTCTCGGCTCATGGTCACCCTGTCGTCCACATCTCCAGTCGGCTGTCAGGGTGCAGGGGTGTTAGCATATAAGCTACTACGAGGCAATTGGAAGTTGTTTCTTGGAAGCCAGGTGCCCTTTTATTTCCATCTCCATGTTTCTGAGGCTGAGATTCCCGCATGGGGTGGGAGGCCAACTGGTGTGGCAGCTGGTGGCAGTCACATCCTGCTGGTGCAGTGCTGACTCTGAGGAGCAGGATGCGACTCAGAGCCCTGGGACTTTGTGGCAGTTGTTTCCTGGCACTGGAATTGCTCAGTTCTGCAAGGATCTGAGTAGCGAGAGTAAACCCCTGGGAAGCTGGAAGTATGGTCCCTCCTCAGCAGTTTCTTTCGTTTTAGGGCTTCTCCCAGGTGGTCCAGATTTTGCTGTTGGGATGGTTACCACTTGGTATTCACAAACACCAGTGTGGTCACTGCTTGAGAGGAATTTAGAGCAGAAGCTGGGTTTTGTGGGGAGTGGGCTTGTATTTGTCTGGTTCGCTGCTATTCAGCTTTCTGTGTCCTCGTTTAACACCAAGATTTGGGTCAAAGCCTGCGTTTTCTCAGGAGGTGAATTTGGCTGGCTGTTGTCCTTCGTGTTTGCACAGCCTCCCCTTTTGAGGGCCTGGGGCTGGTGCAAAGCAGCGTGGAGGTTTGTTGCCAGAACCATGCTCCCACGATGTCCATAGGAAGGCTGACCGAGGGACGTATTTATACTCCCAAGTATTCAGAGCAAAAGGGAGGGCCTGGAGCTCCGATATGAAAACACTGGCCCTCCCTGTGTTAATCCCTTGCCTTGCCTTGCCACAGACCACCGCAGCTGGTTAACATAAAAAAGCATCGTTTTAAAGAATCCTTTGAGAGACTGGAAATAAATGGAACAGATGCACACTTTTCTTAGAAGGGACTGGAAATCTGATCTGTCAGGACAGCTGCTTTTAATTGTGAAAACATACAAAAGTATAAATATGTTTCCCAGAACAGTATTCGGCTCTTGGATCTTCAGAGCTGTTTTCTCCTGCTCAGAAACGCTGTGTCTTTGAGGAGAAACTTCCATTGGTTTAACTAAAGAGGACTTCAAAAAGACTTAATTAAATCAGTGCAGATCACTTATTTCATTTGAACCACGGTTATTTTGGCGTAGCTCAAGTTCCTGAGAAATTTGCTTCAGTCAAACCAAGTTAAGCTACTCCTCGGAATAAAAAGGTTCAAAGGAAGGGGAACCAATATGCTCAATATAGTCTGGGCCCTTCGTTAATCCATCACGATTCCCACAGCCAAGCGCATAGATTTTAGTTGAGCTGTATTGTGTCTTTTCCAGACACTCGGTCTTGATGTAAAGTCTTCAGGTGACTTTAAAGGATACAGCACCACTGGGCACATTTTCTCCTCATCATTAGTTATTCTTCTGTGAAAAACCCCTTCATTTAGAAGCTGCATCTTTTGGTTTTTGCTTCCAGGCTGTTGCATTTCATTATGCTTTTGTCTGCTCAAAACCTGCATCCTCAAGTGTCAGAGTCCTCTTTCAGTCTGTAGCTGAGTACTTCTCTTTGCTTTTTCTTGGATACAGCACAAGAGATGAAGTTTCTCAGGTTCTCCTTTGACCCAGTATTGAGAGGTTTGCATCAGCATAACAGAGCCAGGTCATTTGAGGAATGGGTGTGTGCAGGCAAGCCTAGTAAGGAATGTAGTGACATTTTTAAAGTGAAGGATGTTCCAATGGAGGTATAAAACCAGTTATTTTGCACACTTGGGCCTTTGCCATAACAAACCCACTTTTCTTCAGTGCTGGAAAATGATTTCCTTAGCATTACTTTGTGTTGTCCCCCATCCTTTCTCTGCTGGGCTAATGAAACCACCTTATTGTCAGCATGGAGGTAACAGAGCAATTGCAGGGCATTTCTTCTCCGCTGCCACAACCAAGTCTGCTGTCAGAGACCAGTCTGGCAAATTGCAGGTTGAAAAATGATAGTTTAGGTAAAACTGCAGCTGAAGGCGAGACCCATCTCTTCCGGGGCTACAGTGTGGGAAAGGATTGGCTGCTCATGCTGCTGGCCCCAGTGTTTTGGAGAAGGTGAGATCAGGGATGCCCAGCAATTGGCATCCCTCTCAGTGAGAGACAGAGATTTCCCTCTGCTCCCTGCTGTTCCCTGCTTGCAGGAGGCAGAGGGTGGTCTGGGGGCTGCTTATCAGCCCTCACTGCTCTCAGACATCTCTCCCTTATGTTTTATGGGTATAAACACAGTGCCAGGGCAGGATATTTATTTGGACGATGCCTTTAAAAAGGTTGGTTAACCTGCAACAGCTTCTAAATCCTGCTGTAGACAGGGTCAAGCTGTTTCTTTACTGATGGGGGGGTATGTTTTCTTTACCCATTACTGCCTTCCTGGGTTGATTTCTACAAAACTCTATTTACTCTGGGAGCATCCAAAAGTACCAGATACCACACAGGTACGTGCATGTGTTATCAATAGCAGTGGGCTCAAATATCATTACTTGCCTCAGAGCATCCCAGCTTCTCTGACCTCTTGTCTCTCTGGTGCCAGAGGTGCCCATGCTGGTGCTTGTAAGCACATCTGCCTGGAGACTAAGCCCTTCACATCAGGATTCAGCAGAACCACGCTATATTTAGTGTAGCATCATGTAGACCGTTAAAGCTCACTCTTGTACTTGGTTTAATTTTCAGTGTGCTTGTGCATCAGCTTTTGGTGGGAGGCAGCATCGCTGCCTTCACGGCTTAAAACCTCCTGGGTTATTTGGTAAAGTGAGGGCACTTTGAAAGAGTTAAGCAAGAAAGACAAACCAGAAATGACAAATGCCTGAGGGACGTCACACCAACCGGCAGAGCTCGCAGAGAACCACAACAGGAGTTGTGCAATTCAGCAGCAAATTGCAAGGGCATTGAACTCACCTTCAGTCTCAAAAGCCTACGTCTGAACTGGGGGATCTGCAGTGTAAAAGCTGTTTATGGCATATGCACTGAATTCATAGAATCATAGAATAGTTAAGGTTGGAAGGGACCCTAAGATCATCCAGTTCCAACCTCCTGCTATGGGCAGGGACACCTCACACTAAATCATGGCACCCAAGGCTCTGTCCAACCTGGCCTTGAGCAAACACCGCCAGGGATGGAGCATTCACAGCTTCCTTGGGCAACCCATTCCAGTACCTCACCACCCTAACAGGAAAGAACTTCTTCCTTATATCCAATCTAAACTTCTCCTGTTTAAGTTTGAACCCGTTACCCCTTGTTCTATCACTACAGTCCCCAATGAAGAGTCCGTCTCCATCATCCCCATAACCCCCCTTCAGACACTGAAAGCTGATGAACAGCCCCAACTTACCTTCATACGGGAGGTGCTCCTGATCATCCTTGTGGCCCTCATACAGTTCATACACATCCCAGTGATCTCTCATTTACCTTCAGATGGGCAGTGTGGCCAACAGGAATAAATACACGTAGTTCTGGTGGTGCTGCCACTGGTGGTTGTCCTTTCTACCTCCTCACCACCCTCTTGTCCTCCTCCTCCCATGCGTCCCCACCTGGCAGTTTTGTTCCCTTTGGCTGATGGATCAGCTCTCTTCTTCTACATCCCTTTTCTGATTTACCTCTTTCTTCCTTGTTTTCGCTCTCCATTTAAGTCCTTTCAAGTCTGCCACACAGCTGATACTTCAATAGATGAACTAGTTGTGGGCTTTATAGATGAAGTAGATATGGGCTAGAAGCAGAAACCTGTGTTTGAAGGAAGACAAGGTGGGAGTTGGTTTAGGATCAACTCAAGCCACCTTAATAATCTTATTTGTCCTCATCTTTTAGATACCCTTCTGCTTTGGCCCAGTGTTTGTAGAGCTCCCTGTACTTTGGACCTTGATCTGATCCTCCCTTCTTGGGGTCAAGGTGTGGACTGATCTATCACTGCAGTCCAGAGAGCAGTAAGGGGTCTGCAATGGTGTGGGAAGTGATGAGATGTGACCTGCATGGTTGAGGTCCTTGGTGGCTTGGAAGGTCCTAAAGTGTCTGTGAGAGAACAAAACTGCACCTCCCTCTGAGGAGCATCCCATCCCATTTCATCCCATCCCATTTCCATGCTTTCTATGCTCCATAAAACCACTGATGTCTGCAGCATCACTCTGATTTATGCTGTGCTAGGGAGAGGAGAGCTGTGTTTCATGAGGGCAAAGGGCGATGGGGTATGTGAAAAGCAGGATGTGCTCTCCTGCCTTTGGGATCTCGTGCGTCTTCTTGATGGTTCTTGTGTATTTTGTGGTTTCTGTACTAATTTTGCATGGGAAAGGCTTATGGTATTCCATAAAATGAAGACCCCGTGGCTCGTTTCCTTGGAAATCAAGGAGGAATTACAACCAAGGCTGGGCAAAACCAAATGTGATCAAATCTCTTTCTGCCAGGTGATAAAACCAGAGCAGTCCAACACTCACATTGAATTAGAATACACTGAGTCAGTTTAGCAAAACTAATACTGGGGGATAAGAAAGCCTAGGGGCCTTGCTTTTGCTTTTTGAAAGCAGAGTAATTTTAGCTTCAGCATGAAGCAAAACCCCCGCATGCTGAAAATGAACCAAGGAGTTTCACGTTCAGTTAAGCAGCTGATTTGAAGAATATGCATGCATAGGAGTATTTACTCTTTGTTCTGCTCAGAAAACAGGAACGGTTTCAGCTTGGGGTCTCTCCATGGGTATTTTTAAACTGGGAAGGAGGGGGTTTAGTCAGCAAATTCTCCTTCCATTTCCCTGCCAAAGAAACCCTGCAACTAAAACAGCCTGCTTTTCTCACGGTGACAATGAAGAATACAGGCTTCATTGGACCCAGAGGCTAATTCTGTTTGTGTCCACTAAATAATTCTGGATGCTGATCACAGACTAAATTAGTTAAGGTCCCTAAATACCTGCCTTCCACAGCCTGCTCATTTTCATGCTACCAACCTTGCAAGTATCACTCTTTCCTGGGCTTTGCCTCTTTTGAGGGCTAACAGAGGTGTCACTCTCCAGACAGGGAGCTGCATGCATGTGATGCTCTTCCAGCCCTGGCAAGCTAAATGCACGGTATTCCCAGTAATGCCTGGCACATGCTTTTGCTTTGTGGCTGTTAGTAGCTGCTAGTGTAGGATTCTAACATGAGATTTACACAACAGGTGGGTTATTTTGACTGCTATTTAGTTTATCTATCTTTCTGACTTCTTTTGGCTTGGCAGCCCTTTAGAGGAGGGTGAGAAGTTCCCATACCACTATTTGCTCTTTTTCCTATTAGCGAACAAGTGCCATTGCAGTGATCAGGTCCATCAGGTGGATGCGTCCAAACATTATCTGAGGAAGATAGGCTGGCAGCTCTTCCCAAGCCCAAATCTGATTTGCAGAAATCTGAAGGGACAGGGACAATTTTGGGTACAAATGACAGTATTTTTCACTGTGAGGGCTTCACCCATCATGCTGGGCTTTGGTGTGATGGAATGAAGGGTTTAAGAGATGCGCTTAACATGGTGGGATCTTGGATTTTAGACACACTGCCTACTCCATGCTAGCAAGCTCTGCATGAGGATGCTTTCTTCTTTGACTTCTATATGGTTGCCAAGCACAATCTTAAACCAAGGTAATTACTGCTACAGTATTACCATGGTTCTCTCTGAAGTGAAACCACTGCCAAGTCTAAACACTCAACAACTGGTGATATGACCTCAGGGAAGAAGGCAGAGCTTTTTGCAAGTGCTTTGCTTTAGTTTTATTTATCTTCCAGTCTCTGAGCACTTAATTTGGTGTGAGGATGCATTTTCCAATCTTTCTATACCACAGGAGGGAAAGAAAGATTTGAGTCACAGTTATACAATGTGAACATTCTGGGGTTTGAGGCTTTCAAGAAGTGGCACCTAGGTGTTGTATGAAGATTCCCAGTGAAGCTGCATGAGTGTGTCATTCACTGTTACACAGTGTTTTCTCTTCTTTGTAGCTACTTGGGCTTCCAGATGTTGACGATGATGCATTTGAAGAGTATAACGCAGATGTGGAAGAAGAGGAACCAGAAGCCGATCACCAACAGATGGGTGTCAGTCAGCAGTGATTGTCTAAGAAGCTAAAGAACATTCAGAAGCCTTTGGTACCAGGTGGGGTCAGGTGGTCCCACGTTAGCGTGTTCGAACTAGCACATCACATGGAGATATCTGGCTCCCAGGATAAAGGTTTTACTAAATGGTTTAAAAGAATTTAATAATAATAATCATAATAATAATCTGTGATGAGCTCTGCTAAGAAGTGACCTGAATTTTGCTCCTGCTTCAGTGGGTTTTCTATGGAGTTGTCTTGGTAGCATCCTGCCGTTATCAGCCTAGAAGTAGTTTTGTCGCTGACTTGTCTCTTCGATTTGTGTCCGAGAGTAGCGTTCACTGACATGAATGTAGAGTACCGAGGATGGAGGAAGCATGTGGTGAGAGGGCTGAGTCCTCACCAGTGACCTTTTGGAGGCACCAGCGCAGCGAAGCAAACACCACCTGCGCTTTTCTTTTTAGTTAAACAGGGTTTTTGGCAAAGTAACCAAACTTGGAGAGATTTCTCCTGAAAAACGCTAGTTTAATGGCCGGCACTGCAGAAGTGCACATGAAGGCTTAACAAAACCAGTGGGAAGCGGGAAACCCAGGGGAGTATTGGTGTCAGACATAGGGATGTTGGTTTACTGACACCTGAGTTTGCAAGTGCTGAATTACTGACTGGGAGTAATAAACATCAGCACTTGTAACCAATCCTGGTCCATATGATCCAAAGCCAAATGCTGCTTTCATGCAAATCAATCTAAAACCAGCCATCGCCTATCCCACCTCTGCATGACAACCAACTTCAAGCTTTGCGCTTTTTTAATGCACTGCTAAATTATATCTCCAACCTCGTGGCATCATGAACTGAAGTGCAACTTAACTTGGAAGCCATAAGGGTATAAACCAGCACCTGGCTCTTAAGATGCCAGACCTGTTCTTCTCCCTGGGCCTTTGAGCTGGTCCAGGCATTTACATCTCATTGGAGGGGAGCTAAAACACTGCTACTACCTTGGCTGATTTAAAACTTAGTGAGGTTTTATTTAGCTGGGACCTTTTTCCTCAGAGGGGTTTGGTGGGGTCTTGGTCTACAGGAGAAGAAGACCTCTTGTATTTTGTACCTACTTTGCATAGATTTTAGTGACTTGGATGAGTACCAGACTGTGAAGATGCAGGGTCTCTTTATTTCCTTGCCTTTTGTACTGCGCATACGAGAAGCGGAGGAGATCCTGTTGTAATACAGACGTTTTCCACAATTGAGCAAAATGTTTCTAAATTTACTCCTTTTTCTGACTTTTAAAAACTAAGGAAATGAAGGTCACGTGTTTCAAAGAGCCCTTTTATACAGTATTAGCTTTATAAAGCAACACGTGAGCAAAGAGAAAATCCTTGGACAACTTGTAGAAACAACTTGGAGCGTTCTGAAAACCTTATTGTTGGCAATGTCTCCTTTTCAGTAGGTTTGTTAAAGACTTTTCTTTTTAAGATTACTGAAGAGAGCCGGTTTTCTTGGTGGTTTACATTTCTGATGGTGGCTTGAGAGATGCACAGCACCTGAGTCTTTCAATCTGGGGCAAAGACCTTCCGTAACCAGGGTGGTATGGAAGTGTGCACAGAAGTGTCTGCAACACTGTAAAAGTCACGAGTTTAAGACTATCAAAAAGAAGTGGAAGAGAAACAGAGCTTAGTTCAACTTTGTACATTCTTTTGGCATGCAGGCATAAACACGGTAGTCACAGCACATTTTCTATGGACTAGTGACATGAGGACTATAGCAGTTCATTGTATAACACTGTACAGCAGCAATAGGCTTTTTGCTTACTAAAATAAAGTGTGAGAAAGACCAGTGGTTTCCATCCATGCTTTAAGTCCCTAAGTTTTTCTTAGGTTCTGGAGGTTCTGGAGAACCTTTCCCTTCACAGCATCCAGCCCTTTGGTTGTGGCTCATTCAAGTAAGGGCTGACTTTCCTCTGCTCTAATGTGATGCAAGACATAGTTTACAGTAGTGCAAGCTGGAGGCAAAGTCCTGCTGTTCAGGTTTGCTGGCTGCTTGCACCCGTTGCATGCACACACACCGACACCAGCGCTGGGCACGGCTGTATCGTGAGCTGTGCTGTGGGGTTGGTCTGGTTGGGAAATAACCCCATGCATTCCTATGGACAGGTGGTTTTCCAGCTGCAGGTCCCCTATGGTTATTGAGTGGCTTCACAGATGAGTGCTGGCACAACAGAGGGGAGGGGACAGAGGTGGACATGAATGGGAGTTGAGGGAGGACCTGCAGCTGAAGGTGCCTTCTTGCACCCCTTGCATGGTGTGAGGGGCCCATGGCAGAGGTGCAGATGTGACCTGAACCAGCCGAAGTGCTGAGGATTGACTTCAGATGGCCCGGTGGAGAATTGGGCTCTGGGTGGCAGCAGGATAGGCAGGAAGTCCTGAAATGAGGAAAGACAAAGATCCAGTGCTTGCAATTGCGTAAAGGATGTTGAACTATTCGCTGCACTCTGCTGCCTTTCTGTGCATCTCAGTTGGATTGTTCGTGAGGAGTTCAGCGTTAATATGGTTGCAAAAACACAATACTGTGATTTATGTAGATCTATTATTTTCTGTATTCCCTAACTCACCTATTGTGTTGGAATGCCATATGTCATGGGGGTGACTTCCACACCAGACTGCAAGTGCTGGGCAGCCGGGGGGCCCTTCTGCAGCGCTCACCCCTGCAAAATTCCCACTGAAGCCAGCGGGATTGTGTTCAAATGGGATCTGTGGGATCAGATGCACCAGGGGATGCATGAGGCTTGGTCCTGCAGGAAGCTGAGCCTTCTTGTCCCTCTCGCTTTGCTGGGAACTGAATGTGTGGAGCCCTGCTGCTGAACCAAAGCGTGAGCAGGCAGCAATGAGAATAAAGAATTTTCTACATAGAAAATTGGATTTTCATGTGTATTAAAGGTGAATGAGCATTAATATAGAATGTATTTTAACAAAAGATATGGATTGCTTACTTTGACTAAATACATTCCTGCATTGCCTGTTACTTGCTCCGTATTTGCCAAACAATGCAAGAGATGCAGAACAGTTCTATTACAAGGTATTTGTATGTTATTTTCCCCTCACTCCCACCACGTACTAAGGTTAGTAGCTATTCAGTAGTTAACCAGACTGAGACTGGGGTTTGAGAACACATGCATAAATACTTGCAAGCCTGGGGGCTCGGTGAGAAGATGGGAGTTCAGAGCTCTGCCACTGACTTATACTGAGCTTCAGGTGGATGTCAGTGGCTGGGAATTCAAGGCAGGCCTCCAGTTATGCATCCAGACCTTCATGGAATTCAGTGGGAGCAGGGTAACTCCTTTGGAAGTGCCACTTTAAGCCTTTTGTAAAAGGGGCCATTAGTGTTATTTGCCCACTTTTAGATCTGTGGGTGAAAAGAGGTGTGCATAATCATTGCCTATCCTCAAAGTAAACCATTAGTGAAAGGACACAGAAGGATCTCCATTTTCCCTCACTTCTCTCTCAAAGGCATTTCCTTCTCTAGCTAAATATAAATATACCAGGGCAACTGGTGCCTTGGAATATGAGTTGCTTGAATGCAGTGAGCAGAGTGCTGCTTGGGCGATGAGAAATGCAAGGGATGCCAGAGGAAAGAGCAGATGTCAGAAATGCAACAACTGGTTTGGGTAGCAGGGGCAAGAGGGAGGAAGGCTCCTTTTAGAGAGATGCTGGGATTTCTGAGACAGCCCAAACCATCCTGCCTTACAATGCATGTGTATCTGCTTATTGAACTACTTACATCTACTTACAAGTATCTGCTTATGGAACTTCAGCAGCGTGTAAAAAACCTCTGCACTTTACTGGGGCCCTGAGCTTGGTTCTGTTTTCCTGTTAGTGTCCTGCCTGATGAATGTGTTACTGAGGTGGTTGAGAGGAAGGGATGGAGAAAAGGCAAACTAAAAGGCCTTCCCCAACGCTGTTATTTGGGATACAGTGTGAGTAGGCAGGAGCAGCAGTCAGGGCGCAGGAAGCTGCTTCATTAGGTGCACAGCAGCATCTTGTAAAGGACTTGCTCATGAGGGCTTGCCAGCCAGTGAATAGCACACCCCTGAGCATGGTGACCTGCACCCCTCTGGGCTTCAGCTCCACCTCCTGCCCTGCTCTGGGCTGTTTTCCAGGCAGTTCCCATAGCGCTGTGCTTTTGAACATCGCATGTTTGTCAGAATGCTGCTGCCAAAGGGAATGGGCAGAGTTTTCCTGCAGCAGTGACCTGCACACTAGCTGCTGTGTCTCGACACTGTATCCCCTGTGTGAGTTGTTGACTGGAGGCAATGGGGAGGAGCTGCTGCTACAGCATTGCTGAGTAGGTAGCTGCCCTTTCCCCCTCTGCAAGTGGGATGTGAGACTGTGACAGTAAAAGTGGTGGCAGTAGCATTACAGATGTTGCTTTGGAAAGCTGCCGTACAGAACAGATTCCCAGCCTATTCAAGCATCTTTACTGATCTTTCACTGGGACCAGGGCTGAAGGCCATAGCTATTTTACTCATAGTCAGCTTTAGGTGTAGCAGGAGGTGAGATTACTTCGTCAACCATTACCTCATGTCCATCCTTACCCTCTGTCCATGCTTACCACTCTGTTCTTCTCAGAAATTCCCCTTCCCAGAAGAGTCAAAGCAAAGAAACAGGAAGAGAACACCCTCTTACCTGGCACAATTTGCAGCCAGGTACATCAGTGAGAGCTCCAGTTTAGCACAGTGAGCCACACCATCCTTTCTGCATGAGGGGACATGGGAGAGGTGTTATCCTTTGAGACCCATGAGCTGTCCATGCCAGACAGGGTTATGCGGAAGAGAGCAGTGATTTTAGGTGCCAAACCCAAGATGTTTCCGCAAGGAGTGATGCCTGGCTAAATACTCCAGTCTCTGAAAATCATGACCCATAGAGGCTTTCCAGGATGGGCATCCAGAAAACAAGACCTCTCTGGCTGCAGGTCGCTGGGGAGCCTGGCCCAGCCTGCAGTTTGCTTTCTCAGCACTGGCTGGTTTTGGTCTGGCCATGGGATGTGGGGAGCTGGGATGGATCCCTTCAGGGCCTCGAGCTGCATGCCCCATCCTGTAAATCACTGAGAGGTGGGAAATGCTTTGTTTTAGCTGTTTAGTTCCGGCAGCTCCTCCTTAGCAGCCTGTCTCTGAAGCTGTGGTGTGACAGCTAGGCAGGAGTGATCCAGGGCAGCACCTCTGGGACCCTTGAGGTGGTCCCTGCAGGGTCACCATGGAGCTGATGGCTCAGGGACATCACTTCCAAGGCAGGTACTAGAATGGATTCCTTAACTTTGGTCCTTACCTGTGATAGGGTAATTGTGCTATTGCAAACCCCAGTTTCCACAGAGCTACAGAGCGCTGCTCAGTCAGTATGAACTTGGTCAGAAATACAGAGACTAACAAAAAGGGTGTTTGTGTGTCTGAAGAAAAGAACTCCTTGAACTAATTACTGCTGGCTACAGAAAAGGTCACTGGTTTCATGTAAAATACACTGAAACTCCCTTTCTGCACCAACATGCTGTTGCTCATGTAGGCAACGCTGCGTGTAAAGGATGTCTCCTTTGGGAGCAGTGGTGGAAACATCAGCTCTGGTTTTTGGTCAATGCATATTTTCTTTGTTGTCAAGTTTTCCTTTGCTAACACAGGGACCAGTGAGCCCTCGGCATACTGAGCAGAAATCACGCTGTGGCACGCTGTGCAAAGGCTGGTTTTGGTGTGCTTCCACCATTTCTCCTGGCTGAAAGACTGACCTGTCGTTGGGACTACAAAGCTGTAAAACACCAAAAGATGTCATTTTGTTCAATGCTTTAAAAGGCATAAGCCTTCAGTGGAGCCCTACCTTTCCTCTGATCTTCCTTCCTCTCCTATCACCAAGGCATCAAATCCAGCGGTGTTGTTCCACCATGAGCTTGCCATTAAAGAGCTTACCAAACTCTGATGATTGATGGAGTCTTTTCTTTGTGAGCAAGGTCAACCAAACGGAGGTTAAAGAGTAACTACAATACGTGTGGCAAAGGGAATGAGAAGACTGCATTTCCTGGACACTTGGTGCATGGTGTTTGCAAGCGCAAGCACTATTTCATCTGAGCTTTGGGTATTGCGGAGTAAACCCTGCTTTGCAGGACAGGACCCAGAACTGCCAGGTGATTTGGTTTAGTGCAGTCTGAGGCGGTGGACTTGCTGTCAGAAGATGGGAACTGGTGGTAATATTTGTGGGTGAGCTGTTATTTCAGCCCTGCCAGGCCCTATTCTATGTTTGCACAGATTAGGGAGACATCTGTTCTAATTAAGAGGCATGTAATGATGCTGAAATGAAAATTGGTGGTTCTGTTCAATTCATTTGTCTCTTTTCTTTAAACACTGCACTTTTAATTGCTGCTTTGACATGTTCTCACCCTGACTTCGTTGAAGGAACACTGTCAGTCATTACCTTTTGTCACGAGCCTCTGTGGATTGAAGAATGTCTTCCAGCCCGTGGAAGAGCAAGTGCTTTAACTTACTGTATTATTGGCACTTCCCAGGGCACGAGTGCTGAGTAGGAGCATGCCAATTACATGCCCTGTGGTGTGTCCAGAACCCTCAGCACTGCCTATAAAGCCATTCCTGCAGCTGGTGGAGTGCCTGCCAAGACTGTCTTCCTTGTGTTGGTGCACAGTCCTGGCAACACAAGCCCCACAATTGTGGGGATGGATGGACTGGATGGTCCAGCAGAGCTTTGCATATGGTGGAAGGCACTGTGCCAATGAGGCTCTGGTTACAGGTACAGCCGCTCTTTATGGAAGAAGCGATGGTCCCAGCACGTGTTCGGCTATCTGGA